GGTTGATCTATTAAGGTCATTATTTATTTGTTTGTTCGTATTATAAAGACATTAAAAAGGTTATTTGTGTGTCTTAAAATAAAAAAGATGGTGTAACTAGATTGTACAAGAAAAAAGTTAAGAATTTTGAAGAAACCTTGTTTAGCATAATTATTATTATTTTAAAATTAGAAGAATGTGAATAATTAGTTGTTTTTTTTAACGTTTTTCTGCCTTTTTTCCTCCTTGTGCTCTTGCATGTTCCATTTCTTCTTTTTTTTATTTCACTGAGCAATAATGTAACATAGATATTTAAGACAATGGATAAAAGTATCATTTTGGTTGTGTTTGCATGAGTGAGACGTCTTAATCTGCATTATTATTGTTTTTTTAAGGACTCTCAATTAGAAATGAGCACAAAGTTGTGCATGGAGTTTTGAACTGCACCAAAAGTGTAAATTGTGTGAAGGAAATAAGAACATGTTGCTGAAATTACATTTTTTTTCCCCCAGCACATTTGCATGAGTAATAATGCCTTGGTGTATGGCTACAGTCAATTGAAAAATACTGTAACCACACAAATATTTTCCAGTCACTGCATTTATATCAAAGCTTAGGAGAGCATTTTTTTCCCAGTGGTGTTGCTTCAGGATCCAGATTTGGCACTTTAACCTGCTGTTTGTGAACCATTGACTTAAAAAAATGCCAATTATAGTTTATAAAAGATAGGAAAAATCTATTTAAAGGCCTTGATGTCTGCATCGGAAGGGCATGGCCGCACTCTCCCTGTTAAAGTGGCAGTGTGGGTGCGTGCATGTGATGCTGTCATATCCGGTTGAGACTGACAGCTTTGATATTTATGACGTAGGCTGATGAAAGAGAGCATTCGGCACTCTGCATGAGTGCTGTGTGTGTGTGTCTATGTTGATTGCTGGGCTATGATAGGTTCACTGTTGGTGGTCTTCTAAGACTTAGTGCACACATCTCTCTAAACCGCTAATAAGGTCATACTGGCCACACAAGCATGTATATACACACACACACACAGTCCTCTCTAATCCACAGCCTCACACAATAACACAAATTATATATAATTTAGCTATTTCTAAAAGAAACAAGATAATTTGCTTTTGTCTGCTAAACAGCACGTAATGCTCTATTCAGTATTCAACTCAAATCGTACTCTTCCCCACATGGACAATTGTTACGTTCTAAAAGATTCAGGGAGTATGTATTGTAGTATATTCATGATATACACAATGCAACAGACTTAATATTCTTGAAACATTTTTATATTATCAATGTATCCTGGAGTTCTGCTCAAAGTCACGTTACAGTTTGTCACGTGGAGCTTGTTGGTGGTGACATTTAGATTTGTAAAAATCAAACTCTGGCTTTTTAGTGTGAGTTTTTGACCCATGCTCTTTTCACTTTGCTTACTGTCAGACAGTTAAACAGTTATTTGCTGAGAGTGAGACAGACAGAGAGAGAGAGAGAGAGAGATGTTCCTAAATTGTCTGAAAAAGATTGCATGCAAGTGCTACTGGGGGAGAACAGTTATTCATCTGCAAAATTAATACTTTATATTCAACTTTTAATATACTTTATATTCACAACTTTAACTGTATTCATGAGTTGTCTCTATACATAAGTACATTAGAATTTTCTTAAAACTGCATTAATAATAATCATAATTAAATTAAATAAATATTAGTAATTTAACATGAATTTAGTATTGTCATTTTTCCTTCATTTCTATAATAGAATTTTCTTAAAAAGTATTAATAATAATCATACTAATTAAATCAAATAAGCATTAAAAAAAATCAATCATTTTCCTTCATTTAAAAGTTTGCACATAAAGAAATTTAAATAGTAAATTATTATTATTATTATTATTATTATTATTAATGCAGTTTTAAGAAAATTATATTGTTATTTGTCCTGCAGTGCCTATGGATAAATGCTAGAAGATCTTCTATATCCTTAAACATACTTTCTTATATTCTGAACAAAAGTTGGTTCATTCCACATTCATTCAGGTCAGCCACGAGACTGCAACTTTTCACTGCTGTCTTTCCCTCTGTCTCCCTCTCTTTCTCTCTGTCTGACTTTCATTCCTTTTACTTATGCCCTCTTCCTCTACCCTCTCTCACTCTTAAGCTTCTGAATCTGTCAGGGCCTCGAGAGGCTTAATCAGTGTCAGAACGGCCTTCACCAGAGCCTCCAGCTGTGGACATATTAGTTTACACACACACACACACACACACACACACGTGTGTGAGGATATGTCTTTTGTTTCCCTGCAGAGGAAATTGTTCAAACTACTGGACACAGAATTAGACTGTCTAAGAGGATGCTGAAGGGAAGCATAGGGGCAGAACATCACCAGAGGACTCACCATCTGCACACATATAATGCAGCTGCATGAATACAATTTTGAACCTTTGCCAAAGTTTGTCCTTGGTAGAACAACCATCTACCAGCGTTGTTGAAAATAATGCATAAAATGCATAGCATGTTGATGCATAATCTAAATGTGAGGACCTGTGAGATTGAAACGTGAAGGGCTATATAGGAAATGTTTGGTGAGCGCAGGGCACCCTTCAGTGGACGATAGAGAAACTGCACTGCCTTTTCGGATTAAAAATGATTCCTGTGCTTCTTTGTGGCCTCATATAAATTACTTTCCTGTATCGCGTGAATCTACAGCGACACGGCAAAATAAATAATATGGAATCCTGAATGTGAGTTTGCAGTGTGTATTAAATGTGATTCAATTACAAGACCGTGTATCGCGAAATAATGGCAAGAAACGTCTTTAAGTTGTCCTGCGCTCACAAACAACATAAAAGGTGACCAAAGTAGTCCGATCCGCGAATAAACCGCTATTATTTTACCGAATCAAAATTGTACAGCCTAACCACAGTAGATCGATTCCGGAACTAATGATTCTTATGAGCCGGTTCTTTTTTACTGAATCAGAAATCTGAATCACCAATAAATGACTCGCGGTTCTTTTAAGGGAATAAATATGAAGGTAGAATGACGTCAAAAAGATTTGCATGTGCAGGGTAAGAGTTGTGGAAGTGTACATAAGACCGTAAGCGTAAATTAAATTTGCATGCGCAAGAGAAGCTTTGTAAAGGTGTAAATCGTGTTTCAAGCGCAAGAAAAAAATATTTGCAGCATTTTACTGTTACTCGTAAGTGTAATTCATGTATTGTGAAACAGCAGCTTCATGCTAACGCAAAATAAATATGATCTGCATGCTTCTGACTTCCATTTTTCCGCGCTTACACTTTTGGCACGTTTTTGTCGCCAAAAGACGGTCAAAAGCACTGCAAGCCTGTGAACAGTGATTTGCAAGCGAAAACAACAGTTTAAAGAACTGCAAAACGGATTGACTGCATAGAACCAATCTGTATGTGTAAAAAAACAAACTGTTGCAAATGTCTAAATGACTTGTTGTACATGTGGGGCAAAAAGTTCCCGAAATAAACCGATATGTACAGCTCCGTCTCTCTTTTCTCTGCGCTTACAATTTTGGCACGATTCTCTCACCGACTGAGTTTTGCGAGCGTGAGGGGGAGGGCGGGTCCTCCTTCTTCTTGTAGCCAATCAAATGAGCCTCTCGCTGACTCAATTTACTCTTATCTGATTGGTCCAATAAACACACAGTAAAATGCTGCAAATATTTTTTTCTTGCGCTTGAAACACGATTTACACCTTTACAAAGCTTCTCTTGCGCATGCAAATTTAATTTACGCTTACAGTCTTATGTACACTTCCACAACTCTTACCCTGCGTATGCAAATCTTTTTGACGTCATTCTACCTTCATAATATGAACATAGTTTACAGGGCGGCCACTGTACTGCGAATCTGCGAATTGCAAACAGATGACTCTTTGGTTGTTTTGAGTTTTTCAAACACGACGTGCCAATGTAGTTTATCACAAACAAATGACTTATTAGCCGATTCTTCTAATGAGTTGTTCCTTGACTGAATTTTTAAGCGACCTCTGAATATTACTTCTTTTATTTTGCTATAGTAGGCTATTTAATCATTTATTTGTCTCTGTTCCTTATTTGTCTCTGTAAAGCGACCTTGGGTGTTGGAAAGACGCTACATAAATAAAAAAAATATTATTATTATTGTTGTTGTTGTTGTTGAATCGTTTAGTCGTTTAGAGCGGTCACTGAATTACCTGCCTGACTCACTCACTGAACTGCAAGTAATAATTTGTTTTCAGTGATGCGTTTATCGAAAATGTTTTGTAGCATATGTGCCACGTCAGTATCAAGAACGAAATTGTTTTTTGGTTTGTTTTTGTTTGTTTGTTTGTTTGTTTGTTTGTTTGAAGGAATGAAGAGTGAACGGGGTCTCCCCCCGCTGCACTCAATCAATCATGATGATCTTAGGAAAGAAACTGTTGATGAATGTCTTCTGTTCGTTTTGACCTTTATGTAGGCCTACACACAAAGTGTCTGCAGGTAACGTATGATTGTGTATACACCACACCCACTCACAGAATAATAGTGTCTACTGAATTCAGTGATTGTCAATAAGATAATCATCTGAAGTGAAGCTGATTTAATCAAGACACGATGTCAGCCTGACCACACAGTGACTGCTATTCAACAAAATACTGTTATTTAAAACCGTTTTTCTTTATTTTGTAATTCTAGAAATGTGTGGTCAATCATAACATCAAAGAGATTGTCAGTTTCCACTTATCTCATATTTTCAATCTACTAAAACAACGGGGATTCATCAAGTGCAGATGATAAGCGCAGGTAAATGATCTATTGGTCAGACGTGCAAATTTGAATATTACTGTCCCTACTACATATTAATCGGGTCATTCAGACGTTGCTTAGTAACTTTCCGAGAGCGTCCAGTCACGTAAGCTAATTCATCTACATGAGCCAATCAATGACCAGTAGAGCTCCCAAGCCCCGCCTCCTATGCTAATGTGAATCCTCGCTGAAGGGTCTCGTTGAATGTGAGCGCGTTTGCGGTGTGTACAGCCGCTGTACTATTACACACCAGAGGAGTATCTGGAACATACTATGAGTTACTTTATTTGAAATGCAAAGCTACTGAAGACCAGAATCAGGATATTTTTGCTGGATTTTATTGTGTGAACATCGCTGTGCTGAAATGGGTGGCCAGGTAACCCGTACCTCTTTAGGTGAGTAGGCTAACAGTAAAATTGCGGCTTTTCATAATAATTTCGAAGAACTTGTTTGATCTAATATATGAATATAAGTTATCTGAATTATTTTTTGGAAATTATATGAAGAATTTGTCGGCATTTTCCTCAAATTATCTGAATGAAAATTAGTTGTTGTTTTTTCTTCATTATTATAAAGACGTTATTGTAACTTAAACATAGCCTACTTGTTGCTCAGAGTCCAGAATCACTTTATTCTCTTCTGTTTCTCCAATATAAATGCATTTCAGATGGTTTGGGTTTTTGTCTGTGACAATGGTTTGTACTGTAGATCAATACTGATCAACAGTTTGTCTTTCAGGGATCCATTGTTTTTATATAAAGCTAATTAAAGTTACTATAGAATAACTCTAACCCTAACCTTAAAGAAAATGTTTAAATTTTTTATAATTAAATTAATAATAAAAACATTATTTGCATGATTTAGCATTACTTTTGAGTGATTTTTAATGTCCTCAAAGGGAAATTTTTTTGTGCCTATAATAGTATATCCCCACACACATACACATAGTTTTAAATCTGACAGTTATATAGGTTTTACTCTTTCTTGCTGTGAACAAGAAAAGTAGGCATAATAGAGCATTTCAGGTTTATACCCACTCAGTAAACTAAGCTGACACTGAGTCAACCTGACACTTAAGCCTGCTATTGCATACAGCACTGAGAGAGAGAGAGAGTCCACACATATAATGGGACATGACATTAGTATCAAGAGAACATCCCTAACATCTCTCTAAACCAAGAGGAAAAACAAGAGATATTGAAATGTGATTAGTGATTAGACTGTTGGTTTGTGTGGGGCACTTTTTGTGAAGACCAGCAACTGCCCCTACAAAATAATGTCTTAATGAAAAGATAAAAATGCGAAATGTTTTCTTTGAGGATTAGGTTTAGGTTTATGGGATAGTAAATGTATTTTGATCAGTCAAACAAAATGTAGTGAAAATCAACACTATGAAAACAAACACATTTGTTGGTTTTCATGTATTTGTCATGACATAAAGGTCAGGGGTTTGTTGTTGGAATATTATTTTTATTTATGTCCCACTTGGCTGTGTGTGTATACACAGTGTCTCATGATTCCCATATAAACACTTACACAAATACACTCACACCTGCAACTGCATGTCCTCATTTGCCCACACAGAGATCATGCAGATAAATAAATGGACCGTTTTGCAGTTCCAAATAACTAATAAGGTTAATTTGTTTATTTGTTTGCTTGTTTTTGTTCTGGTCAGTCCAATAATTCAGGTTTGTACCAGCTCCACTACAACAAATACTTGAGCAATGAAAAATTATTTTAGCAACATTTTTGTTATATCAAAAATAAGTATATTCATATTTTTCAGTAAATGTTTTCTTAATCAAAAATATGTAATATGTATCTTGCAGCAATAACTATAAATTATATACTACTTTAGGTTGAAAATGATAATGTACAAACTGAAGGGTGACATGATTCATTTTTAACACATTCAAACTGATGCTTTCAAAATTATTGTGAAACATTCTTAAACATCACAATTGTGAGACATAACCTTGGTTAGCAAGCTAAACAACTTTACTCTGGTAAAATATTTAAATAATGACAATTCATAACAGCAGTGTTCAGTAAATTAAAGTTTGCAAGGCATAAAAACGTAGAAATGATCAATGAAAGTAGTAGAGATGTTGACTTTCTAGTGTGTGAGTATTTGTGTGTGTGGACACATAACCTCATTTTTGGCACCCTGAATAGCAGAAACTTGCATTCTATCTCTCTCTCTATCTCTGTGTCTCTTTTGTTGTCTCTTTGTTCTTGATAAAGGTTTTCATTCAGAGATGGTAGCCACTGTCCTTTCTCTGTTCTGTAAACCCAGCACAAAGCTCTTAGAAAGAAAAACAGTGCCAGTCAGAATTTACATTGTTGTGAGTGCCTGTTGAATAAATAAATATCCGCATCTTTTTTTTGTCCATCTCTCAGATGGAGGAACCCTTCGCTGCCACCCCTTGAAGGTGAGCATGTGCCCACAGCTGCCAGCCCCCCCGCCGCTCTGTTTCCATGCCAACACGAAAGGCTCTCAAATCATGATGGACAAGACGCAGCGCAGCGTGCGCCGAATCGCCAGCTTCTGTAATGCCATCTCCTTCACCAACCGGCCAGTCAGAATCTATGAACAGGTCCGGCTCAAGGTATGGTTACTTAACTCTCACCCATTTCCACATGCCATCCTGTAAAGCACTTTGTGTGGTCCAAAAATTGCCCTCACGTATCCCTCTTTCATATCACTCCATCTCAAACTTTCCTGAGAAGGGGAAAACAGATAGAGAATGCTAGAAATGCTAACATGTGAGGTAGTGCTGTTATCTTGTTCTGGTGAATGAGGTTGTTTGGAAATGAAAAAAACAAGAATCTGTTGGTCTCCATTTATCGCATCACACTTGTCACACATTAACTTTATCATTTTTTTCTACAAATATGTATAATTTTAGCTAACTCTCTTGATTACACTCATTTTTGGTCTCTTCGTTTAGATCACAAAGAGACAGGGATGTTGGAGTGGTGCCCTCCGAGTGGGTTTCAGTACGGTGGATCCATCTGATTTAAGTTCAGCATGGCTGCCACAGTTCACCTGCCCAGATCTAGTTAGCAAAAGGGGATTTTGGGCCCGAGCGCTTCCTGAGGAACAATGTGAAGAAGATACCATTCTGTCCTTCTGGTTGGATAACACAGGGCGAGTGTTTTACCGGGTTAACGGCGGCCCTCCGATCTTCTTCTTCGGCGGTGTACCTGCCGGAGAGCCGGTTTGGGCGATCATTGACATTTATGGGCTGACACGTGGAGTACAGCTACTTGGTAAGTTCACATTTCTCTCACATGAAATATCAGATTTTACAAATGTATAATGTCTTTTTATGTTCTAAACCAAGCAGTCATCAAACTGCCTGAAGCTGGTTAGCTGGACGTCTCTGTGAAGTAACTCTCTACACAGATCAGATGACGTTCCACTCAGAGTTTGCTCGAGTGGAATTGCTGAGCCCTGGTTGGCATGTAATGTGGGCCAGTATCTGAGCTGCGCTTCATTGAGCACGTGCTAATCGCTTGATGAGTTGTAAAGTTCACAGAGGCCGGTGTGTTTTTGCTGTGCCGAGCATGTTTAAACAATTTAAATTCACAACATTTAAAAATAGAATTCTAGATTTATCTTTTAGAATTCTTATCCTAATTACAAGAACTGCCCAATGGAAAAAGATGGGAGAGATTGGAATGGTTGCCTAGCAACACTTTCACTTTTAAAATGAAAAACATATGCCGAGGAATTACAGAATGCTGGCAAAGTGAGAAAAAAATTTGTGTTGGAACAAAATCAATAAACCTAGTTGAATGGAAAATAATTATTCTATTCATAATTTAGTTTTAGTGAGATTCTATAGGAACAAGGTCAGGTTTAATTAAGCCAATTAAGCATGCCTTAATCATTGTTTATTTGTTAAGGCATTGGTAACGCATTCAGATTGAGAATACAGTTGTTGTTTGGTATTATTATTCTTTTTTTTTTCACTTAAAAAATTGGCTGCTGTAATATGGTCAAAGGTTGACAGTATTTAGGAAACTTTTGAAATTTTAGCTTGTCAAGTTGACTGTACCCATCCATTTGTCCTTCTATCCTGACAATTGCTCCAGTCCCTGCTGCACAGAAACACCCCCATAACAGGACATTACCACCTCCATGCTTTACTGGAGGAATGCTGTTATTTGGATGGTAAGCTGTATTGGATTTCCGCCAGACATATTGTTTGGTGTTGAAGCCAAATAATTAAATTTTATTCTCATCTGCCTCAGAATCTTCAAAGTGCGTTTTGTTGTGACTGCATGTGGCCTTTCTTGAGGAGTGGCTTTTTTCTTGCAACCCTCCCATACAAGCCACATTTGTGGAGAATTTTGTGATATTGTTGTCACATGCACACAATGACCACTCTTTGTCATAAATTCCTGCAACTGCTTCAGAGTTGCTGTAGGCCTCTTGGTAGACTCTCTGACCAGTTTCATCCCGACTCTTTCATCCAGTTTGGAGTGACGTCCTGATCTAGGGAGGCTCTGTGTTGTACCAAATACCTTCACTGTGCTTCTAGGCATTGATAAAGCCTTTGAAAAAAATTTGTATCCATCTCCTGACTTGTGCCTGTCCAACCCGGAGATCTTTTGACAGTGCCTTGCCACCCATAGTTGATTGTTTGCTTCACTTGCAGTACCAATGACTGAAATGCTCCAGGAAAGCTCTTTTCATGCTGAGCTAATCAAGTGACCACAGCTGATCACAGCTGAAAGTCAAATGGCTTTGTGTGCCACTTGAGAAGGTGATTGAGTTTACAAGTCATTTTTAGGAGGGAGTGATCCTTTTTCCCAACTCAGTGTTTGTTTGTTTTTTTCTGACATGTCTATGTTATATCGTTCACTTGGATGTTATAAGTTGCTCTGAGTAAATGCAGCTGGATAAAACAAAAACTGTGTCCGTCTTCATTTCAGGCTGCAAAACCCACTGTAAAAACAAAGTAAATGTTCACCATTCAAAAGGTGAATGAAAAATTTTGATTATTGTGAACTATTATTACAATGTAAAATACTATTGTCATATATTTTAAAATATAATTTATTCCTGTGATGGCATTGGCAAAGCTGAATTTTCAGCAGCTATTATTGCAATCTTCAGTGTCAAATGATCTTTCAGAAATCATTCTGATTCTGATTTGATGCTCAATAAACATTTCTTTTTACTTTTTCTTTTTGCTTAATATTTTTTTGTGGAAACTACTTGATCAACATGATTCATTAAAATGAATCAAACTTACCAATACTGATGTTTAAATGAACATGTTTGATTTGGACCTCATTTGTCTCAGCTACTGTATAAGCCTCTGTTTGCAAAAAATAGCAATGTAGCATTTTGTCACATTACACTGCTGCTTGTTGGAAAAAGTAGCTTGATACTGAAGAAGTTACATTGTTTTGAACAGAGCTGAGCTGTCATACTACAAAAAATGAACCTAATTTAGTAGCATTGCTACTTTTAGTTAATTGCTCCCTTACACTTGTGTTGTAAACACTTATGAAAAACAAAGCTACAGTAATAGAAAAATAAGTTGTTTTCATGTGCTTTTGTACAATTCTAATACATTTTAGTGAATGCATTACTATAACATTTTAAACAGGTCTCTCTCTCTCTCTCTCTCTCTCTCTCTCTCTCTCTTACATTTGAGTAAAAATAGTCAGTGTTTCCACAGAGTCAGATAGCAGTGTCTTAGCAGTGAGAACGGGGTGTGTTCAAAAGCATAGACAGCATGTATGTGTATCATACAGCTTTCAGCTTTCAAACCTACTAGAGACGTAAATACACATATACACACCCAGTTATATTTTGCTTCTTATCTAGCTATAGCAACATCCACTATGTGTATTCAAGCCTATTTTCAGTTGCACTTTGCCTCTGTATAAATACACATACATAGTAGGTATAGAGATGTCCACTAATCATGCTGCGAGCAATCCGCACATGCTGTGCTCTCTCACATTTCCTCTGCTTCCAAAATATGTTTATAGTCAGATGGCCAGATGCCGTGACTAAAATCACCTCCTGTTCTCATTAATGTAGATCACACCACATCTGGCATTCAGTCAAAGTGGTTCAGTGCTGGGTGGAAGGTCCCTTGTACTGTAGGTCATCACGCATTACCTACATGTGCATTGTTTTGTAAAAATAAAATGCATGCTTTATATAGATAGAGTATTTTTATACTTTAAAAATTAGTATGACACAGAAATATTTTAAAATATTGTACCAATGCACGTTTCCTTCCTTTTGATCTTCCGTTTCCGTCCCCAGTGTCACAGAAGCTTCGATGTCTCAATAATTCCTGTTCAGACTAGTCAGCGTCAGCTAAAGGCAGTTCAGTGGATGACAGCGACGTCAAGCCCGGAAACTAAAAACAACCGAGAGGAACATCTACCGCGTCTGAGAATGTTTCTGCTGATGCGGCTGCAGTGAAAGTTATAGCAGACCAGTAATTTCCATCACTGAAGCTCTGGTGTTCTCATCAGCGGCTGTCCACTGTGGATGGCCAGTGGCAACGTTTTTACTGACTGAGGTCAAAATGAAAAATCACCCAGTACAATTATACTGATGCTGCTGATTGCAGGCTACATGAGCAATAGATTTTTATGAAGAAAATATGAATAGTGCTTTTGCATGTTGTGGATGGTTGCCAGGGTGTTGCTATTTTTTTTTTCCATCAATCGATCCATCAATATCAGAAAATTTAGAATAAATTAATATTAAAATAATATAATTTAAAATTAGTTTATAATAGTGTAAACAGTACTGTTCAAAAGTTTGAGGTCGGTAAGATGTTTTTTTTTTTTTTTAAAGTCTTATGCTCACCGAGGCAGCATTTATTAAAAAATACAGCAAAATAGTAAAGTTGTGAAATATTATTTCATTTAAAAAACTAACAAAAAAATAATTTATATTTATAAAATATATTTATATTATATTATATTATGTTTATTATATTATTCCTGTGGTAGTGTAAATGTAAAAATAGGGGAAATGATACTGCACAAATAATTTTTATGTGGTTGCTAGTGTTTTCTGGTTGGTTGCTAGGCAGTTGTCTTCCCTTCTTAAATAATTATTACCTATATGAACTAATATAATATAATTTTAATTGTAAATATTTATTCACCTTTTTAAATTATTGCTCTGGCATAATGTGAAGGTGTTTAGATTTGTTTTATTTTTTCCTTTATCCAATTTTACATAAGTAACTTTGGTAACACTTTATTTTAAGGTGTCCTTGTTACACTTGTTAGATGTACATACTATTATAATAACAATTATGCATAATTACATGCAAGTAACCCAAGCCAAACCCAAATCCTAACGCTAACCATATAAAATAAAGTGTAACTGTAACTTTAATTGATTTTTGATTATAATTAATTTATAATATAATGTAATATTATATAATTATTTTAATTATTTGTTTACTTTTTGTACTGAACAGCCATGTTTGACATGATAAAAGGTTTTATATTATATTATATTATGTTTATTATATTATTCCTGTGGTAGTGTAAATGTAAAAATAGGGGAAATGATACTGCACAAATAATTTTTATGTGGTTGCTAGTGTTTTCTGGTTGGTTGCTAGGCAGTTGCCTTCCCTTTTGAAATAATTATTACCCACCAAGCAGAAAAATGTAAGTTCAACCACTTGGAAAAATAATTGCATGATCCTGATTATGAATGCAGTGTGTATGTGTTTTCCAGACAGTAAGATGGAGCCAGCTGAATATCTCTGTCCTACTGTGACTCATGAAGGCATGGATGAGTGGCATCTGTCAAGCAGCTGCTCTGAGCTTGACCTCCAGGAAGATCTGTCATCCTTCTCAAATTCTCCAAACGCTCTAAACTCAGTGCTGTCACGTCAGCTCAACGATGACTTGCATTTCCACTGTGTCCATGGCAACGGTCTGCGTCTACTGACTGAACACATAGCGGTGCGTTGGTATAACAGACGTGAGGATTGCGCTCTGGCGTTCACTCATCGGCCGTTGCGCTGTGGAGAGTGTGTGTTCCTAAAGGTCTCGTTAAGGTCTTCTGCTCTGAATGGATTTTTGTCTTATGGATTCACTTCCTGTAACCCAGCCCATATTAACCCAAAGCACCTGCCGGTTAATCCAGATGACCTGATGGACCGCAAAGAATTCTGGGCTTTTAGCTGCCTGACTTCACCGCTTGTGGGCGGGGATATCATCGGTTTCCGGGCAACTGCAGAAGGGGAGGTGCTTGTGAGTCATAATGGAGGCAGGGCCTGCAGAGAGATATGTGTGGATAACTCCACTCCTCTGTGGATGATCTTCCATTTACAGCCACACATCAAGCAAATCAGCATACTGGGTAAAAAAATACAATTAAAAAAAAGTATTGCTCTTGCATAAGGTGATGGTTTATTATTATTTTTTCCAACTTTTCATAAGTGACTTTGATTATTGATTATAATTAAATTATTCTGAACAGCCATGTTTATGACATGATAAAAGGTATGATTTGTATTTAATATTAGTTGTGTAGGATTAATGCATTTTTAATTGTTGCTCTGGCATAATGTGAAGATGTTTATGATTGTTTGTTTTTTCCCTTATCAAACTCTTCATAAGTGACTTTAATTGATTTTTTATTAAAATGAAATTATAATGTAATATCATTTTAATTATTAGTTTATTTATTATTATTTGTGCAGGGTTAATGGATTTTTAAATTTTTTTTCAAGGCACTTCTTGTGGTTACTCTCCATCCTGTTCAGAAGTACAGAGGTCCATCTTTAGTGATGCCAGTCACCTCTCAGCCAATCAGATTACCAGTACAGCAGTCAGGGGCTTTACGGACAGCTTTCAGTCCCACTCACAGTATCTCAGCAGTTCTGCAGGTGCGTTCCTGTCTTTCATTCTTTTATTTTCTATTAATTTGTTGATTTATCAAATTCCTCAACTAAAAATATAATTTCTCATTGCTGTTTTCTCTGTGATTGCTGTGGTCACCAGGGACAACATTCGGTTCACTGTCCTCAGAATCTCCCAGTACCCCATCATGCCGTGCGATTACTAGTGAGGAGTGTTTGATTTGCTGCGAGAGGGCAGTGGACTCAGTGCTGTACACATGCGGACACATGTGCATGTGCTCCGTCTGTGGTGGGAAGCTAATGGAGATGTCAAACCCGTCTTGCCCCATGTGTCGCAGCCCAATCAGAGACGTCATCAAAATATTCCGCAGCATGTAACCTGGAAACCACCTCTCCGACAAACAGGATCACAGTACCTGGGTGAATCTCGTTCCCACAATTCCCACAAGCCCATTTAAAAGACTGCTTGTTTGAGCTCAGCAAGGAAGAGGTACTAAATGACTGCTTAATGTACTAAATGTCTGACCAAAAATGCTGAGAGAACCCAGAAGTAACTGCTTAAGTGAATGGCACAACATCCCAGATACTATAAATCTCTATTGACAAATGGCTAGATGTGCATAATGGGAAATCAAGCTACTATGAGACTAATTCAGATTTTCAGTAAACTAGTAACTTCATACAAAACTGTTCACATGTTTTTAAATGTTTGTTCCCACACTATTCATATTTATCAAGAAATAAATATTTCTTTAACTTGTATATGTTCATTCAATCCAGAATCAGAATCTGAAAACTACATTGCGGATTTGATGTGTTGGTAAATGTATTTTTTGCAAAACATTAAACAGAAAAACGAAAAAAATGTTTTACATACCAAAGTAGACATTCACAGAATTGTAAGTGCCAATAACTTTTATGTTCAATGTGGAATTAAACTAAAACTCTAATGCTACCCAACAGAAGAGCCTGTATTTATTATTGTAAATATAAAAATATAATTATAGATATTTTTAAGGCTTTTATATTAAAGGGGTCATATGATGCTGCTAAAAATAACATTATTTTGTGTATTTGGTGTAATGAAATGTGTTTATGCGGTTTAAAGTAAAAAAAAACACATTATTTTCCACATACTGTACATTATTGTTTCTCCTCTATGCCCCGCCTTTCTGAAACGCGTCGATTTTTACAAAGCTCATTCATCTGTATGTACAAACACTTGTTTGTACATACAGATGTACAAACACACAAACACCATCAAGCTATTGTGATTAAGATACAAAATAGCACTTGGCCATTTATTATAAGCTTTAGTTTGAAGTGATTTAATAGGAATAGCACCATTTTTAATTACACAAACAAAGAGACATTCACAGATAGATAGATAGATAGATAGATAGATAGATAGTGCATTTAGTCTGTAAACAGACCCTGATATTTTAACAGAAACCACCTGCAGCATATTAAGACCAGCTAAGAGCAATAACTAAAAGCCTGTTCAGTGACAATAACATCACATCAATCAGCAAAAGCAGGAGTATACAGCATATAAACAAGGTGTCAGTCAACAAGAGAATTCACTTGTGACTGACTCTCTTAGTGTTCCCTTTGATTTTGTGAACAGAGTTAGCCATGTCTCTTATGAATTAAAAAGGGAACACGTTTTTATTGGGTCATGGTCAAGATAGAGAGTATGAGACGTACGGCCGTTTGGTAATTAATTCTGGTAACCCACTAGCTCCTCCTCTCCAGGAAGTTGGAGGGCACCCATCCTTTTCGTGTTTTAGCCGTGTCGAGCACACGGCAGTACCACCATCCATTAGGGTTTCTCTCCAGGACCTCCAGCCTCGTGCCAGCAGGGAAGCTCATGGTCTCCGCATCGCCGTGATAGTCAGCGATAGAAACGTACTCCTCGCGCAGGTTGTTGTGGATCAGATGAGGTTTAGGCTTTACCATTGACACCGGTACCTTACGTCTCATGCTCTCGGTATTACCTGCACAAGAAGAAGTGGTTTGGTCATTGTAGCTAAGACTAGGCAGTGCATCGTTCCTCCGTCCTGCGGGAGTTGTGTGCGTATTAGTGTTGTCCTTGAGGACGAAGATACAAACACTTGGCCATTTATTATAAGCTTTAGTTTGAAGTGATTTAATAGGAATAGCACCATTTTTAATTACACAAACAAAGAGACATTCACAGATAGATAGATAGATAGATAGATAGATAGATAGTGCATTTAGTCTGTAAACAGACCCTGATATTTTAACAGAAACCACCTGCAGCATATTAAGACCAGCTAAGAGCAATAACTAAAAGCCTGTTCAGTGACAATAACATCACATCATCCAGCAAAAGCAGGAGTATACAGCATATAAACAAGGTGTCAGTCAACAAGAGAATTCACTTGTGACTGACTCTCTTAGTGTTCCCTTTGATTTTGTGAACAGAGTTAGCCATGTCTCTTATGAATTAAAAAGGGAACACGTTTTTATTGGGTCATGGTCAAGATAGAGAGTATGAGACGTACGGCCGTTTGGTAATTAATTCTGGTAACCCACTAGCTCCTCCTCTCCAGGAAGTTGGAGGGCACCCATCCTTTTCGTGTTTTAGCCGTGTCGAGCACACGGCAGTACCACCATCCATTAGGGTTTCTCTCCAGGACCTCCAGCCTCGTGCCAGCAGGGAAGCTCATGGTCTCTGAGTCACCGTGATAGTCGGCGATAGAAACGTACTCCTCGCGTAGGTTGTTGTGGATCAGATGCGGTTTAGGCTTCACCATTGACACCGGTACTTTACGTCTCATGCTCTCGGTATTAACTGCACAGGAAGAAGTGGTTTGATCATTGTAGCTATGACTAGGTAGCGCATCGTTCCTCCGTCCTGCGGGAGTTGTGTGCGTATTAGTGTTGTCCTTGAGGACGTTCTGAGGTCTGACAGCGAGCTGCTTCACACCGACCCGGCAGTTCTGTTGGTTAGATCTGTGTCCGCTCTTCAGGCTTTGGTTAACACGCTGCTCGTTCTTCTCCAAACTTACGCATTTACTCATCTTTCCAACATCTCCCTGAACTGAAATCTCCAACTCAGGAGACGCAGACCAAGACGTCTCAGAATTAACCTTCTCTGTGGTTTTGGCTGTTGTACCGCTTGTTTCGGAGCTTTTGATTGCCTGTAAGTAGTAAGTGGGCGCCCAACCCTCTTCGTTCCCCCAGCGGATGAACCACCAGCCACTCTCCTGCTTCTCCAGAACCTCTACCTGCACTCCTGCGGGAAAGCTGAGCTCATACGGCTCTTCCCGCTGGTATGCCGCAGTAGTTTGGTACAAAAAGGAAGGCGGATTAGAGAATGTCTGGAAGTTCTCTGAGTCATTCTCAGAGTCCTCAGATGTGCGGGAGCTCCTGAATTGTATCTGGCCTGGTTGCTCCTGGTTTTGGGGTCTTCTGATGGAACTACAGTCTTGGTTTGCAGGTTTTGGACGCACGGATGGTTTGGATTTCAACTCATCAGCCTGCTGTTTGAGTTTAGATTGCTTTGTGTGTGTGTAGAGTGTTGTATTGGTCTCAATGTTGGGCTCGATTGTTGGGGCGTCATATTCCGGTGGATCCCACATTGATGCCCGGTGAGTCGCAGAGGACGAGTATGTGTCCGAGTGACTGTCCTTACACTGTGGTACAGCTCTGAAGCCACCGTTCGCATAAACACCCTCATCATCCTCCTCATCCCCTTCACCCAATGTAAAAGAAATGGTACGCTGACTCAAAGGAGGAGGGGCTTTAGTCGGTGCATCTCCTGGAAGAAACTCCTGCTCAGGGTCGAATTCAAGGCCCACTGTTGGAACATCATATTCTGGTTCCTCGTATACTCGTGGACTCGTTAGGCTCACAGCCTCAGACTCAACACATGGAAGCGAGTTCTGCTTTTTGATTGGCGGAGCAGGAGGTGGGACCTTTGGCCGGGTCAGTGTACTGGTTTGGCGGTTCAAGGTAGGTTTCTTGCGTTTGTCGATGTAAGAACACGGGGCCCAACCCTCCTTCTCTTCAATCTGGACATACCACCAGCCTCCAGAGTTCTTGTCAATGACCTGTAAACATACACAGTTTCCAGACCATTTGTAGAAATACTTATATTTAATGTTATTTGCAGCTAATAGGCAACATTGGGGTGAGTTGTCTCACTTTTTACTGAATATTTTAGATCAGTTTCTGTATAGATACAAACCTTGAAGTTCTATACTGTTTTTTGACCAACAATATAGTTGTTATATAGGCTAAGCCGTCACAATGGAAACCACTTTTTTTGTCACTGATTTAGAAACGGTACCTTTTTTAAAACTATAAAAATATTTTACGGAAAAAAATGTTTTTGAAATAAGTCTCTTATGCTCACCAAGGCAACATTTATTTGATAAAAAATCCACAACAGTAACATTGTGAAATTTTATTATAATTTTCTATTTGAATATATTTCAAAATGTAATTAAAAAATAAAATGTAATTTTCATCAGCCATTACTTCCAACTTCATTGTCACACAATCTTTCAGAAATCATTTTATATATGCTTATTTGGTGCTCAATAAGCATTATAGTTATCAATACTAAAAACCGCTTACATTTGTGGAAACTGTGATAATTATGTTTTCAGGATTCTTTGATAAACAGGAAGTTTAAAAGAACAGCATTTATTGGAAATAGAAATCTTTTGTAAAATTATAAAATGTCTTTAATGTCAGTTTTGTTCAATTGAATGCATCCTTGCTGATTAACTGTACTTATTTATTTATTTATTTTTAAAAATCCCCAAAACCGATTAAACAGTGAAACTGAATAGTTTGTTTTACCTCAGCTTTCTGTCCTCCACTGAAACTGATCCCATCTGTCAAGCAGGACCTGAACTCAGCGATGGTGTAATACTCCGCTTCAACCGTAGGGGGATCTGGGGGCTGCGGTAACTGAAATCCCTGAGAGTGAAGAGAAGAATATGCTGTTCAGCATATTATAAACCACAACATGACCTATTTGTGTGTGTGTGTGTGTGTGTGTGTGTGCGCGCAATGGAAAGAAAGAGGAAAAAACAGAGAATGGGAAAATGAGAACACACACACTGACCAGGCTGTTTTCTCGACGGGGAGGTGGTTTTTGATTGTTTGATGGTGATCCTAGGGAAAACGAATCAGAAATCAAAATGTGTTTACTATCACATGACATGGTTCAAAAACATTATAGATAATGCATAAAGAAAGAAAGAAGACAAAAGGAAATAAAGAGAAAGAAAATTTAAAAATAAAAACAAAAAGGAAAATAAAAGTGAAAATTAAAGAAAGAAAGAATCTCACTGGTCTCAACACTGTGGAATCTCTGAGGTGCGACTCGAGCAATGGCAGGAGATGGAGGTACTGTTTTGGTCTTTATTGTGGACGATGTTGAAGACACACTTGCTTCAGAAACAGACGCAGTTACAGCATCCGACACTGACACAGACACACTGCTGTCTGAGACAGACAGATGCACACTGGTGTCTGTGTGCTGGGTGACCTGATCATCAGAGTCTCTCTCTAAACCACTACTGCCTGTATTAGCTGCTGTGCTAATGCTGCTGCTGCTGTTTCTATCAGTGTGTGTTTTGTTACTGTAAGCATCAGTCTGCTCCGCATCACCATTGTACTGTGTGTCAGTCTGTGAGTGCCTGTATGTGTTTGTGTTGCTGTTACGGTGTGCAT